CGCGACCCCCGCGGGCTCGGCCTCCCCCCTGGGGCTGCCCAAGCCAAAGAAGAGGACGGAGCCGGTGCGGATCGCAGCGCCAGAACTGCGCCAGGGAGATGTGAGTGTGGAGAGAATTCCCTCCCCGAGGGTTCAGCAAACCTCCCCCGTGCTGCGGGGAACTGCTGTGGTTGGGGAGGGTTTTGTCCTGCCTGTCTGTGCTTAATCCTAAAGAGCTTGGTGGGGTTAAACAGGTATAGGCACCTTATTTATAATCGTCACACAGCAAAGCTCAAATGAGCTGCACCTTCCTTTCTTCCTGGAGTTAAGGAGTTGGGGATGAGCAGCTTCAGGGTTTGGGAGCCTCCCACCCCCCCAAAAAAAAAAGTCTAGTTTGCTGATTGATTTTCCTGTCAGTTTATTAGTTGTTTTATCTAAAGGTTTCGGGTGTTCTCCAGGTTTTTAGGGGAATGTTTCCCTCTCAGCTTGTGCTTTTTGTCTGTGTTTGGAGCCTGCCAGGGCTCCTGAATCCAGACAGGGAGAGCAGGGAAAAAGGCAGAACATCCTTTGTGTTGGTTGTGCTTCTCCTCCAGTAACTCCTGTCGGTGTCTGTCCCTCTGAGGGAGATCCCTGAGGTGCTGCTGTGCACCTGGAATTCTCCTCCTCCTTTCAGGTTCATTCTCCTGGGATTTATTATCAAACTGCTGGAGTTTTTCCCTCTCTAAATGCCAATTCCAAGCAGGAGAAGCCACATTTTCTCTTCCCACCCACCTGCTTTAGAGAGGGACTAAAAAACCACCCCGAAACCTTGGAATTTGGGAGTAGCCAATGCTATTTTGTGCCAGGAGTTGCATGAAGGAGCTCGGGTGGGGAATGTTGGATGCTTGGGAATGGATTGCCCTCGGGACATCCTTGATCCCACTCTCCCTGCCCTGCTCGGGCTTGGATCTCCCTGTGCCCTGACCCAGATGTGCCCACAGGACTGGGACAAAGAGCTTAAGCACATCCCACTTTGGTTTTTGGTTCAGCTCTTGGTGCATTATCAATCTAGATCCCTTTTCCTGGAGTTCTCCAGCTGGTGCAGAAGGAACATTAATAAATTCTATGTGGGTGGGATCTTTATTTTAGTACCTGAGGTTGTGCTGAGCTCTGGTTTTCTCTTTCAGTCAGATTCAGAGGAAGATGAACCAGCAAAGAAGAAAAATACTGTTCAGGTAAGTGCTGAGGGCACTTGGGTAGAGAAATGTCACTGGAAAAAACCTTTGACTGTGATCCATCTTGGGCTTGAATCAGCCACTCTGATCACCTCTTGGATTTAGGCTATTCCTGCAATGCTGTGGGGTGTCAGGTCCCTTTTTTGGGGGGCAATGTCACCAATTTAAGTCATGGACAAAGAGGCATCAGTGTGGGAATTGGGCAGTTCCACTTTTCCCTTCAGAATTCTCCTCTGTAGTGTGTTCAGAGTGGCCAAGGATGGTGCTGAGCACTGGGAAACCCAGGAGTGTTGTTGGGATTGGGGAGCCCAATTGGATGTCCCAGGGAGGCTGTTGATGTCCCTAAGGAGGTTATGGATGTTCCCAAGGAGGTTGTGGATGTCCCCAAGGAGGTTGTGGATGCTCCAAGGAGGTTATGGATGTCCCAAGGAGGTTGTGGATGTCCCCAAGGAGGTTGTGGATGCTCCAAGGAGGTTATGGATGTCCCAAGGAGGTTGTGGATGTCCCCAAGGAGGTTGTGGATGCTCCAAGGAGGTTATGGATGTCCCAAGGAGGTTGTGGATGTCCCCAAGGAGGTTGTGGATGCTCCAAGGAGGTTATGGATGTCCCAAGGAGGTTGTGGATGTCCCCAAGGAGGTTGTGGATGCTCCAAGGAGGTTATGGATGTCCCAAGGAGGTTGTGGATGTCCCCAAGGAGGTTGTGGATGCTCCAAGGAGGTTATGGATGTCCCAAGGAGGTTGTGGATGTCCCCAAGGAGGTTGTGGATGCTCCAAGGAGGTTATGGATGTCCCAAGGAGGTTGTGGATGTCCCCAAGGAGGTTGTGGATGCTCCAAGGAGGTTATGGATGTCCCAAGGAGGTTGTGGATGTCCCCAAGGAGGTTGTGGATGCTCCAAGGAGGTTATGGATGTCCCAAGGAGGTTGTGGATGTCCCCAAGGAGGTTGTGGATGCTCCAAGGAGGTTATGGATGTCCCAAGGAGGTTGTGGATGTCCCCAAGGAGGTTGTGGATGCTCCAAGGAGGTCCACCCTAGAGGGTCCATTCCAACCTCTTACCAAACTCTAAACCTCTGAAACAGCCTCTCTCTTCTCTCTCCTCCCTCTGATCCATTCATCCCACACGACTCTCCCAGGGACGCTCCGAAGGCTCCGGTTTATCTGCTTTGCTTCCTCAACCCAAAAACCTGACAGTGAAAGAGACCAACAGGTTACTCCTGCCCTATGCTTTCTCAAGGAAAGGGGGAGACAACTCCTCTGACTCCAAACCTCCCAAGGCTCCAACCTCCTCCTCCAAAGCCAAGCCCGTGGCCAAGCCAGCCGTGGCCACCACTCCGTCCCCGTCGGCGATCAAGGCCGCGGCCAAGAGCGCAGCTCTGCAGGTAACGAAGCAAATCACACAGGAGGAGGAGGACAGCGATGAAGAGCTCGAGCCAGAGAACTACTTCTCCTTGTCTGACAGGAGTGAGCCCAGTGCTGCAGGCTCAGAGCCTTACCTGTACCCCAGCACGGTGGGGGCGGAGGATCCCCCGCCCGGGACAGAGCCGGAGCCGCAGTTCCAGGACGCGGCGGCTAACGCTCCTCTGGAGTTCAAGACGGGAGCAGGATCCAGTGGTGCTCAGCATGGCTGGGCAGCCAAACCTGGGGAGGACTATGGTTCCCAGTATGGCCAGTTCCCTGCCTATGGAGAGCATGGGGCATACTACCAGGTGGGTTGATGGTGGGAGGTGAGGGTGGGCAGGGAGTTTGGGAGAAATGCTGGGGCAGCTGCTCCTGGGAATCCAGTCCATGTGAGCTGGGTG